TTTTTCAGACTTCTTAGACTTCGCGAATAACTGTCAATTTTGTTGTACGTACTGTTACGACACAAATGTGCTGACCCACCTATGCTGGTTAGAGGTAGGGTGAACAAACTCGGTGGGACATAAACACTATATTGTACACACACAAAATCATACAAAAGGGGAGAACGCTCCTGCTGCGCCTCTCTTACTAACGACTACACTACAACATATCCTTCTCGTCCTGGTGTCATGCGGGAGGATTCGGTGGAGAAGACTGGTACGGCAGGTCTCTCTCTACGGGCCCCTTTTGACCTGGTAGCACGAGCTCGGGAGGTGCCGAGCCTGAGGGGAACGTCTTGTTCCCGAAAACGTGTGCTGCGTCAAACGGCCACTCCAGGGTTCGTCAAGGCACCACAACCTTGCAAGAACCTTGGACAAAGTCACAAAAAAACGACGAAGAACTTCCAGCTAGAAACGAAACTTGGAGTAAAAAAAACTTGGCTGTCACTTGTACTGTTCTATAGCAAAGGGAAAATCTGGGTCAGGCGAGATCTCACTACGGAATTTTACTTACGATCTACTACGCCTCTGATATTTGCGGGGCTGTCGCTCCCTCAGATCTTCGCCAAAGTTTGGTCTTTTCGACCGCCGACCGTTACTCGATCTCTTTTACTCAAAACTCGGACGAAAAGTGCGGAAATGCCTGATTCGGCGGCCCAATCACGTTACCTCTGCTCGCAATACGCTTTCCGTTCATTGTAGCCTATCACTCTCCAGTCTCTCTCAGCAGTATAGGCAACCCCTTATTCTCAAATCGTAACAGTACCTTTCAATAACACCCTGTATATAGATGGGACTTAACTCTGTCCCATCCATATAATAGCGAACTTTCAGGTTTTTAACCCCAATGTGGAGAAAATTAACATTTATCTTGATTAATAGGGAGCTGCCGTTTAAGAGACCACTGATGTATAGCGCGAAGATCTTGCTTTAGTAATTTATGGTTCTCAGTGTTATTATACATTTTAATATCATCTGCATACATAGCAAAGGGAGAACTTTTATATCAGCCATGTATACTGTGAAAATCAAAGGGCCCAACACGGAACCCTGAGGGACACCACTTATTACATCCATTGCCTTACTAAACGAGTTACCAACTCTTACCCGCAACAAGCAATCAGTTAAGTACGATTCTATCTATCTCAAGAGCTTCCCAGATATACCCATACACTCAAGTTTAACAAGCAGACGACGCTTAGGAACCCTATTTAACGCTTTTGAGAAGTTCAGATACAGCACGTCCCCGAAATTACCACCATGTCTCTGCAGTCCATTCGGCGAAATAACAAATAAGGTTAAATTGTATCGATTTTCCTGGTAAGAAACCATGTTGCTCTGGAGGGATTAGAGCATGCTCTGGCCAAAAATTGAGTAATTGATCGTATATAATAGTGTTACGTTTGACGGACGAATAATAAATCGGGCGTTGGTAAAACTCAAAGATTTATTTCTTGGGCTCGAATGACAACACTATCTATTGCAACGAATATGTACAGAAATTATTCCGGCGCTCTTGACTGTCTTCACTGGCTGAATAATCCATTACCTACGGTCGCCTCTATTTAAACCCATATTCTCTGATCGAGATCTTTCACGAACATCCATCGCGACTCCGCTTCGAGACTTCCCTGGACGCTGCTTCGAGACGGCTTCAGACCTGTCTTTATGCGCCCGCCGCTCGGCCGTCGACACCGTCAGCAGTGATGATTCACCCATCAGCGACGTCCAGAAAGCTCTCAACGGCCAGAGGCGTCGTACTGGGGCGGCGTAAGGGTGTATTTCGTAACAATAGACTCCATAACCTTTACTGTTACAGACGTGAGACTAACCGGCCTGTAATTGTAGGCATCAAACTTTTCTCCAGATTTAAAAATTAGACGGATGATTGCTGTGCTCCAGTCAGATGGCAAAGAACCAGTGTTGAATGATTGTGTCATTAATATACTAATGGGTTCACTAAGAGTGTCTGCACAGTTTGTTAAAACTTTGGCTGTAATGTAATCAGGTCCTGCTGACTTAGATGGATTAAGGTTTTTCAGTTTCTGGCATACTACTGTCTTGGAAAAATCCATACCACTGATTTGAAAGGGAACGTGAGAAGTTGTTAAGCTAGGCAATTCCGCAGACTCTTTAGTAAAAACTTTTGAGAAAGTTTCCGCAAACACTTCAGCAATTTTACTTTTATCATTTACTACAGTACCAGTGGAATATTTTACCTGTAGGCCCCTAACAGTCCCTGAAAGCTGTATGCGAATATGTTTATACAGTTGTTTGGGGTTCTTTGAATTGGCAATGTTATTTTCGTATGAAAGCCTAGCCTGTTTAATGATGATTTTAAGTTGATTAGACCTTTTAAAAGTTCTCCACAAGGCTCGTTTTTTGCGAATGAATTTTAAAATTTTACCATCAATTCACGAGTTTTTAGAACATATTTTAGCAGAAAAAGTAGTAACTATAGACAAAATAAAAAAAGCGCAATTATCGCTACCCTACGGAAAAAACCTGTACAGATGAAACTAACAAAAACCGAATTCCACGCAAACTAAAAACGCACCATAAAAACAAAACCCTAAAACAAAACTACTGAAATAAACCTCTAGAATTCCCCGCCGTCCGACATTCCTGGTCTCCGGAGCGGACCATCTTCTTCCTTCGTGGGTCGAGGCGGCAAAGAACCAGCGAGTGCGCTATCAGCGGTGGGGAGGCGGTACCGCACCCTGGGGTCTGGGTTCCTGACTGGTCGTAGGCGTCACAATGAAATGGAAACCGACAACGAGCTCCGCGCTGGTGGGACTTCGAGCTACGAGCTGGTGGCTGGGTTTCGGAACAGGGTCGGCGATCCCAGCAGCGGCGGTCATACCCTATCGGCGAATACAGATGTAGGATCGGCAGCAGCGTAGGGGACCCTGGACGAACTCGGATGAACTGCCGAAGAGTTCCTTCAACCGGGCTTCCACGTGGGACGGGTGGCGGGGCCTCGGCGTACTGTACTCTTCCATACTGGCGAAACTATGAGTGACCGGATTTATATACATAGATGTTTTTGTACACGCGGCCGGTTGATTCGTTTTTCAAGGTAAAAACAACCGGTGATATGACCTTGCTAACTTGGTAGGGGCCGGAGAATTTTGGAGATAATTTGGCGGTGAAAGCTTTGACGACAAATAACAATGGATGCTCTCTTTTCATCACGCGGCCCCTTACGTGACAGCTCCAGACTTTCTGTGACGGAGATTGTAGTGTTTCTTATGCGTTCGTCCTCACGTCCGTAAGGTCTCCCTCAAAGGCCGCGGTCAGAGCTTCACCTGCGAGAAAATGTGCGGGGGTTAAAGGTTTAGGGTCGTTACTAATCGGGGTGAGAGGACGAGATTTCAAGATTTCAAAATTGCCTCTATACGTGTAAGGAGCGTATACAATTCTTCATAAGTTAAGGTCGCAAGTCCTATCGTCCTTTTCATCAACATTTTAACTGATTTCACATTAACTTCCCATAACCAGCCCATATGTGGTGATCGCGCGGAAATAGAGCGAAATTCGATGCTCTTTTTGGCTAACTCATCTACTACACTCGACTGGAAGTCGGATGAATTTAGGAACTGCTTAAGCTTTTGCATTTCCCTTCTGGAAATCAGTCTGTGTAATGCCCCTAAAAATGATTCCGACGTCAGGTTGCCGACTAATTCTAAATGAACCGCCTTAGTCGAGAAGCAAATAAATATGGCGATGTAAGCCTTCACTGTTTTTTTTTCGCGACCGGCAGCTTCCCTGATTAAAATGGAACCTATGTAATCCACACCCGAAATGAGAAAGGGTCTGTTGGGTTCCAGCCGATGGGCAGGTAAATCTCCCATCATTTGAATAATTCTTTTCGGGTTATAGCGGTAGCAAGAAATAGACCTGTGTATAGACTGCCTGATAACGCTACGGGCTGAAATGATCCAAAAATTTCGCCTTAGAGCCGCTAGTGTACCTTCTGTCCCGCAATGCAAATTTTCAAGGTGATGTTAGGTAATAAGCAGTCTGCTTATATGATGATTACTTGGCATTAGTATCGGCTGCCTGGTGTCAAATTGCAATCTGGCATTTCTTAAACGCCCGCCGACCCTGATCAAGTTGTCCCTTGATAGGAACGGGTTTAATGATAGAATTGGACTTTTATTGCTAATAGGCTCTCCCTTTTCCAGAGTTTCTAATTCGTCCGGAAATGCGTGTTTTTGTACCAAACGAATAATTGACAATTTGGCTCTTCGTAATTCGTGGATCTTTAAAGGCCCTGTTTCCCCTGGTAACTGTTTCTTTAATTTTCTGAGTCTGTCCAACCAACGCAAGCAATAGGCAATAACACGATTCAATTTATGAGTGGACGACATTTTTGTCATTATAGGTAGTGACGTACTAATTTCTATTGCGGTTACGCCTGCAACATGTTTGCGTTTTTCGGGAATTTCGTCGACATAAACGATGATGGTGCTAGAACTCTCTGGCAATCTTACTTCGAAGTTTGAACAAAGCCACGTTGGGCGCTTAAACCATAAATCGTTATTGATCAATTCTTGCGGTAGAAGACCACGACTAACTAGGTCCACGGGGTTTTCTTCACCCTTGACATGTCGCCAGTCTGCTATATCAGTAACATCTTTAATTTCGGCCACCCGATTAGCTACGAACGTTTGCCACATGTGTGGACTATTATTTAGCCAAGCTACAACGACCTTCGAGTCTGACCACAAATACTGTCTCGTAATATTTTCATTTAACGCCCTTTTAACGGCACAAATAAGTTTTGATACGAGTAATGCACCGCATAATTCTAATCTCGGCAAAGTTACTGTTTTTAAAGGTGCGACGCGTGATTTGGTACCAAGTAGACGCACCGATAAATTGCTGCATTTGTCATACGTCCATACATATACGACCGCTCCGTAGCCCTTCATACTGGCGTCGCAAAAACCGTGCAATTAAAAACCAATTATCTCGTTGAGATCGGAAATTCTTCTAGGAATGTGTAATTCGCGAAGATACAACAATTCCTTAATAAATTCACTCCACACATAGTAGATATCTTGTGGCACAGATTCGTCCCATTCGATCTTTAACGACCATAGTTTCTGTAATATCAATTTCGCCTTTAATATCACCGCCCCGATCAGACCTAATGGGTCGAATATCTGTGCAATGGTCGATAAAATAATTCGTTTGGTCACCTTTGATTTGACGTTGATTGGTTTTACGCCGTACCTAAGAACATCGATTTTGGGGTCCCAAAGTAAACCCAAGATTTTTGTCAATTCGCCATCGTCCAATTTTACTAAAGAGCCATGACTATTATCGGCGGTCGGAAGCACGGCTGGTAGGTTTGAAGCCCATTTGCGTAATTCGAAACCTTCCTCTTTTAAGATCGTGGACATCTCCTCGCGAAGGGTAATTAATTCCGAAGCCGTTTGGGCACTCGTGAACAGGTCGTCCATGTAAAAATCCCTTTTGATTATCCTATTCGCTGCGGGGTACAGATCTTGATTTCGCGTGGCTAACTCAGACAAACAACGGGTCGCAATGAAGCTGGCCGGTTTCGTACCGTATGTCAAGGTGGTCAATCTGTACGTCAGTAGTTCATCGTCGGGTTCCTTGCGCCATAGTATTCGCTGATAATCCGTGTCGCGCGGGTCGATTCGAATCTGCCTGTACATTTTCGCGATGTCGGCCGTCACCACAAACGGATGAATTCGAATCCTCGTCAAGATAGAAAAAAGATCTTCTTGAATTACCGGTCCAATCACTAAATTATCGTTGAGACTTTTACAGGTCGTAGTTTTAAAGGACGCGTCAAAAACCGTCCGTAATTTGGCTGTCGTACTAGATAATTTAGAAACGGCGTGGTGGGGCAGGTAGTACGAGTTTTCTAAATCTATATTCGGATCCGGTATTAGTTCCATGTGGTTCATTTTTTGGTACTCCGCCATAAATTCCGAGTACTGCTCCTTAAAACCCGATTGTCTCTGCATTTTATTTTCTGAAAATCGAAACCGATTGAAGGCGCCTTGCTGGGAATTTTCCAAGTCAGACGGGGTGCACTTGAAAGGTAGGCGCGCCACGAACCGCCCTTCTTGTACATCCTGCTTAATGGTTTGTGAAAAATGGATTTCGCATTGTCGTTCTTCCGGAGTAACTTTGTCGGTGACCAATTTAATGTCCTCAAGCTCAAACAGCTTACTTACTTGGTCGTGTAATTTATGATCCGAACGTGTAAAATGACACAAGGCTCTAGGTTTATTACCGGATGCGTTTAAGTTTCCCCCAACAATCCATCCCAACTGGGTTTTTTGGAAATGTGGTTGCCCCGAGACAACATGAATTTGTCCAATGCACATTAAAGGCAAAAACAATTCTGCACCGATTAGTAGATCAATCGGCCCGGGCCGATCAAAGTCTGGATCGGCAAGCTTTATTTTTTTAGGAAAACTTATGGTTGACATGTCCATCGGATTAATCGGAAGGTTTTCTGTTATGTTACTTAAAACTAAGCACCTAATATTCTGACTGTATTGGTTATATCTAGATTTCACTGATACTTGTGTTGAATGATTCACGCTGCTAAGTGACTGATTGATACCGCCGATCTGCATCTCTATTTTTTGACACGGGAGGCCTAGTTTTTTGCACATCCTTAAAGTTATGAAATTATTCATTGAACCCGAATCTAGAAACGCACGACATTCATGAAACTTATTGTTTTTGTCCTTTATCAAAATTATGGCTGTAGAGAGAATTCCCGATTTAGATGTATCAATTTGAGAATATGAATTCAAAGATTCTGTTTCCAATTGTTCCGGCAAACTTACTTGATTGTCGATTGTGTTATGATTCTGACTACAGACTCGGCATTTTAAATTTGATCTGCAATTCTCTAATGTGTGATTGTTCCTCAGGCAATTTTTGCATAAATTTACTCGATCCACGGCTCTACGTCGTTCGCCCGCGTTAAGTTTGAGAAATGCTGAACATTGATTTATGTAATGTTCATTTTTCTTGCAATAGACACAAAATTTTTGTTTACTACCATTATTAGAGGTCGACGTAGTCGCGTAATTATTCGACCTTGAATTTTGGGCCCGACCAAAGTTTGCGCTCGGCGTTTTTAGCACAGCTGTTTGTCTGCTAGTATGATATAGCGATTCTAAGATTTGATGTCGTTTTTCTAGAAATTTTAAGAATTCCCAATATTTTGGGATTGCCGGAGTTAATTGAGCTTACCAATCTCTTTTCGAGACGAAGTCCAATTTTTCAATAATAATTGGTATTAAGATACGTCCCAGCTTTCTACCGGTACCTTTAAAGTTTTAAGTGCCTCTATATTTGTTGTTAAATTATCAATTAATTCGCGTAAACAGGTATGCGACGGTTTGGTAATTACGGGGAAGCTTAAAATAGAGTAAACATGCTCTTGGGCAATAAGTCTCTCGTTCTCATACCTTTTTTCTAAAAGGTCCCAAGCGATCTGGTAGTTATTATTTGATATTGATAATGCCTCTATTGCCTTAAGGGCTTCGCCTTTTAAACACGATTTCAAGTAGTGGAATTTGTTGCACTTGTCTAATTTGTCATTATTGTAAACGTGGGTAGATTATACACAGGTAGTTTTATGTTTAATTCGTTTGAATTCGAAGGGGTGGATTTACCTGCCTTCGAATCTTTACGCTCATTTAGTTCTTGTATCACAGTTTTGATAGTTAATACGACCGCGAAGTACTGCGACTCAAACCTCTCCCGTTCTTCGGTTTGATCTTCCGAATTATCATTGGCTACGAGTTCGATTTGTAATTGCGTATTTTCAAAGTCTCTAAACGCAGCTTCTAAGTAACCTAAGCGTGTTTCCAGTTCATTTATGTTTTGCGTATCTGGGTTAAAATCAGTTACGAAACCTTCTACTCTTGTCAATTTTCCCTTAATTCCGCCGCGTGAGCGAATTAAGGCTTCTGACGAAGGCATAATGATAAATAATGATTATTACGACTTAAGAATCGAAATAAGAATCGCGACCGTAACCTTATGAGGTTGCTCATGGTCAGTGTTATGATCGAAATTAAATATATATTTATTGAAATGTATACTCCTTAATAGGAAACGGTGAAATTAGGAAGGAAGCAGATAGCTCTGAGCTTCGGTTTGTTGTCCTGGTGAGAGTATGCGTCGCTCTTGTGGATGCTGTCCTCGACTGCAGGTTTTTTGTTGGGTTTCGTCCCGATGTTCTCCGCTGCTTCCTGGACCCGGGTTGATCTTGCCATTGCCTGTTAGCTTCACCCACGGGTACTGTTGGTTGACTGGACGTGGTGGTGATCCCTTAATGCTGAGAAGAATACTGCCCACTGCTGCCGTCGTCTGGTGTGGATGAAGAAACGTGTTGCTGATGCTGATTGATGAAATAAGCCCTGATCGAAATTGATGCTGTAATTCGTGGATGAATAGGCGTGGTGATAACTGATGATGCTGGATGTTCTTTTGCGAACTAGCAATGCAATCACTGCAATCGCTATACTCCACTGATGAATTTGAAACTAGTACGCGATCACGGATTACTACACTAAAACTGATTCACATCCGGTTCGTATGGACCAATGTATCGTATCGTAAAACCAATGTATTATGGCTATTTGATTTTGTTGCTTCGAAGGACCTGAATTAATTAAACAGCTTTAAAATCACAACCAAGGCTTTATTTTTGAAAGAAAGCAGCTGATCGACTTGGTCTTACACGTTTAGTGTTGGCAATGTGACTGTCTTAGTCTTATGAAACAGACCGACCACCAACGGAAGCAGTCGTCATTGACCAGGGGACAAAGGGTTCACCGCCACCGAACACCTGCAATTCTAAACACACGTCATATCATTGTCTCTAGCTATGAACAACTCACAATCTGTTTATACCTTTATCTACAAGAAAATCTTCTATGTTATAATATGCCTTTTTGTTTAGATATTCTTTGATTTTTGTTTTAAAATTTGGCATATTAAGCTCTTTAATAGGCATCGGCAGTTTATTAAATAATTTTACACAAACATAATTCACACTATTTTGATTTTTTTTAAATCTAGCATTATTTAAACATAGCGCACTCTTGTTCCTAGTGTCATGATTATGTATTTCATTGTGTCGATTATAGTCGGGAGTATGAGATTTAAATTTAACATAAATAAGGCAACTGAGAATATAAATACTAGGTAAAATAAGAATGCCTAGTTCGATAAGGTACTTTTTACAATCTTCCCTGAATTTAGCTCCTACTAAAATTCTTATTGCTGTTCGTTGTAGTTTGAACAACTGCTTGTGAATGCATGAATGACCCCCCATTTGTTTGTGCTTGCGTGTTTCGTGATAACAACTTTGACGTTCGTTGAAGTTTCAACGATATAATATGAAAATCACCACTGCTGTTTTTTTTTTAGCAACTGAAATCAACAAGTGATGTTTTTTTTAATTTTGGCAAAAACTGTAAATGCTCAAGAGACCAGTTAATTATTTAACTAGTAAATCCGTTGGCACTAATGATAATTTTCATTATTTTTACTAAATTGTTATTATTTATTTGCCATTAGTGTCATTTACAATCAGTGGCGTCGTTGTCTAGGAGTCACATATTGATATCTATTATCTATTACATATGTTTTTACGAATAGGGTGTTCAGACTCTCCCAGTTATTATTTTTTTACACTTTCTTCGTATGCTTCTTCTATTATTTTTAAATTTGTCGATATTATTTGATTTATTAAACACAGTGATTTTTGTCGAAAAGTCACTCCGATGTATCGTTTAAAATATTGTTTCATCAACAAAATCTGAGATCGCTTCCAGAAACATCGAGAACATTTCTTCCTCCGAAAAATGAACTTCTCTTCGGGCCATACGATCGTTGCTTTCAAAGCCCAAAATTTTTGCACCTGTAAATGACAAACTTATAGTTCACCTCCGGTGGATAGCAAAAACTTTGCATATTGTAAGTATACCTAGGTGTCTATGGGAGTAAGAAAAAAACAGGAGGCGGAGAAATTTATTGGGTTCGCTGCTGGGTACCGACAACACTTTTGCGTGTAATAGTACGTTAGTAGCCGTTCTCCCACGGAGGACAGCAGTAATTTTAGCTGTTGTTTTTGGCTGCCTAGCGAGTTTTGTTTTGGGTGTTTATGTGCATTGGACTTCACGAGAACTTTTTCTCATTTAGGAAGAGATTTTCTAAATACGCGCTGAGTTCCTAATGATAAAACAATTTTTTGGTGGTAGTTTGGTTCTGGTCAGTAAAGTTGTACTCTTATAAAACATTCTTTGTGGTGTTCTACGTATTCAAATTATGTGAATTATTATTTAAAAAAGCAACAGCTACAAATCTTCTGGGGATATACAGGTGACTGCGAAATATATGCAATAATTTTAACCACGGCATCCCCCACCCTGGTAGAGTCGAAATATAGAAAAAACAAATTAAAAATCGAATGTAGCAAAACCCTTATGAACCACCCTCGATACGAAGGCACTGAGCCACCGTGTAAAGAGAGTTGGAAAAACGTTCGAATAAAAACGACGTAAACACTTTCAGTTTCAATTAAAAGTGAAACCGACTTTTTGCAGCTTATCATTAGTTTATTCATTTATTATTATTAAGAATCACATTGTCCAACAGGCGAACCCAATTATAGGACAAGGATAATCTTCGATTTGAATTAAGCATATCTGAAAGTCATCTTTTTGATGTCAGCTTTGCTGCAACAAAATATATCAAGAAAATCTTGTTCAATGCGAGAATAATTGTTTATCATCTTATACACAGGAGACATCTGCAGTGCGTTAGATTTTGGTGTTTGTAGCTGAAAAACATTCAGATTTCGAAAATTGAACGATTTGAACTGAAAGAACAATTTGGACAACAGATCACTGCAGTCAACAACTCCTGATACAAGCTGGTGAAGAAAGTTGATTGAGAAGTATTCTCGCCTGCTGGAACTAAACTAAAGAAATTAATAAAAGAGTTGTAATCTTTAAATGTAGATGCATTAGACCCAGAATGTAGCCAAATTACAAGATTCGAGATATTAAAATCTCCAAAAATCAAAAGATTGCTGTCATATAGACAGTGAAGTGACATTAAGGAATCGAATTTTTACCAATGCGTCATCGAGGTCAACTGTACTTATTTTCACAGATTTAACAGCATTTTTAATTGTAAGCGAGCAGTACGGCCCAGATAACCCCTAGCGCGACGCAGCGATAATGCTTATGATTCATGATGAAGCAACGCTATCCGCAGTCACTTTGTGGATGGGTAGCGAAGATCGCCAGACCTATCTAAGCGGCTCGGTGCGTCTCCCCCCTCACACCCAATGGGTAAAAAAGAGGGTAACAGATTAATATATTTTAATTGCAAGCAGGACACCTCCCCCTCTTTTAGTATTAGTGGCAGAGTAATTACGGTCAGATCTAAATACAGAATAAACACTCAAATCAAACAGCTCTGCGTCCGAGACCGAGTCATTTAACCAAGTTTCAGTGAGGGCAACAATGTCGTAAGTTAAACTGGTGATGGTGGACAAAGAAAAGTCTTTTAGTTTGGTATTAAGACCCCGCACATTTTGATAGTAACACACAGTTTCTAATGATTTTGCTTCAGAACGTTCACTACGCAGTTTGGAGGGCATAAAAGGCAGTAATGGCTACAACTGAATGTCAGTAAACATATCACTTTTGAGTTTTTGAATAATATTTTTGTAACAACGACACTCATCATAGCTGCATACAGCGTGCGCAAGATTTTCTTCCGTAAGTGACTCTTTGTCCTTCAGGCCCGTGCAGTTGATACATTTCAACGTGTTAAATTGACGTTGCTTCAGATCATGGCTGCCAGCACAGCGGGGACACGAAGTTTGTTTTTTACCGGTTCTGCTAGAATGGTTAAAACCATTACATTTGAAACACTGCAGAACATCTATTGCATCATAGATAGTACAGCTGTCCAGACCTACTAGCAATGGCCGGCTTTTAAAGCATTATTATATGACGTTACATCAACCTGTATGAGAGCCTGAAAGATATTTTCTTTCCGCTTAGTCTGAGAGTGTTTTAGTAGTTTGCACACCGAACCACTACTAAAGATGTTTTCATTTTGCTTAATTAAATACGGAATTATGAGCTCTTTGTCAATGTCATCAGAGAGGCCGGAAATACGGATACGAGGCAGAGGAATTTTTAAGTCATGTATTTCATATGATTCTGTAAGATCGCTCTCAAGCACAACTTTTTTAAACTCTGAGGGATTATGACATTTAAGCAATAAACCACCGCTCTTCGTCGGGGGCACATCCGAAATTCCGACGTTACATTTTCTAGGATCGAATTTAGTGATAAGATCTGCTTTAGTTTTTTTCAAATCGGCTTGGGAAACATCTTTTGGTTTAACTATAACTATTTTTATTTTTCGTTACTTGAACAAACGTAGGCACAGTAGGTGGTTCAGGTACTTTGTTGGAGTTTTTAGAATGAAACATTCCATCTGTAATTAACTTATTCAACTGTTGCACTTCATTTCTTAACTGAGTATTTTGATGTTTTAATTCTTTAATCTCATCTATCAACAAAGTATGTTGCTGAGAAAGAGACTCAACTAAATCTTGAAAAACTTCAAGAAGTAAAGGCGGCAATTTTGAAGTATTTTCCTCTAAAATGCACGAATGAAACAATGAGTTATTTGACCCAGTGAGGAAGCACTGCAAAAGCCACATCCCCATTCATTAATCTGCTTTGTTGCTTTCAACTGCTCAAATGCTTTTTTGCTAATGCAGAGGCAAGTTATATGATAATTCGCAGCACACTCTTTTCTACAAAGCAAGTAATTTTTTTGACACTTAATCGCCATCTTGATACCATACTAAATTAACAAAAATCAACTAAAAAACTTTGAAGATTTTCAGGGTCAGCAGACCACCCACAAAAATGGAGGTCGGT